GAGACGACAGAGAGAGGCGCAGAAAGACACAGAGCAAGGAGTGCGCCAGGAGACAAATGTCCACACAAAGAGACTCACACAGAAGAGAGAGAACAGACTGTCAAAAAAAAAAAAGGCCCCAACAGCTGTGGTTTGCAGCTTCTTGCTGGTTTCCAAAGCCTGGCTCCACCTCTGAAGGCAGCCCACTTCCTAGTGGTTCCTCTATTTTCCACCCTCTTTGTTCTTGCCAAACGCCCCCCCAACACACTCCACACCTGCACCCCACCCCCACAGGCAAGCCTGCCTTTCTCCCCAGTGAACACGGGAGCCCGCGGCAGGGAGGGTGTGAGTCAGGGCCCCTCATGCTGGGTTCTTCAGAAACACAATGTACTCAAGGACTTTAGGGGGCTCACCTGTCTCCGGGAGCGCAGCCAGGAGGAGCGTCTGCCCCCCGCCAGGCAACCACTGTGGCGAATTCCCCACTCTCCTGCTTTGGGTGCAGGCACAGCTGTTCACACCAGGAGCAGCGAGGACGGAACCCCAGACATGCCACACGGTGGCCCGGAAAAGCCAAACTCCTTCACCGCCGTGCTTGCCAGAAACTCAGTTCCACCTGGCGCTGCCTCTCTCCTGTTGCTCTCTCCTGAGCCCTAGGCCTCTCGAGGACGAGCCTTCTGGAGTGGCTGGCAGCTATGCTTCTAGGCTCTGGCTCCTGCTTAGCAAATTCTTACCAGGTGAACGAATGAGTGGCCCGCAGAGCCCGGAGCCCTCACAGGAGCGCCCCAGGGCATCCTTGGGAAGAGCAAAGCCTAGGTGCTATGCCCACCCTCCTGTCCTGCCGGACCCTTCCTAAGAGCATTGCTCCCCAAGCTGAGGGCAGCCATATTCTTGCTTCCTGCCCAGCAGGTGGCAGGGCTTGGCCTGGTGGGGTTCCGGGGTCTATATAACCAGCCTGTGTCCCCTCCTCCAGGAAGCCTTCCCTGACTTCTCGTGGCCTCACCCACACCCTGTCCTCTGAGCTTCCACCACCCAGAGAGTCTGAGCCCCACACACCTGTTCTTATTCACAGCCAGGTTATGGCTTGTCCCTGGGGATCTCCCCAACATTTCTGGGGGCTCTCCTGGGACGGGAAATGAGCCCCTCACTTTTAGTCCTGCCTCCCCCACCCCACAGTGTAGAGGAATGCAGGCTGGCCACAACAGGAGCGGAGGTTCTTCCTTCCCTTTAGGAAATTCCTTTCAGGACCTGAGTAGAGGCTGGCAGGGAAACACTGCAGTGGATGATGGGAAATTCTGCTTTCCCCGTAAAAATCAGGGGTGGGGGAAGCCAGCTTTTGCTTTGAACCCTGCCCAGAGACTCCAATGGGCCCCAATTCTCCGGAATCTTTTGCTCTTGTTCTCCTTCACAGCCTCTTCTGCCCCAAGACTGGAGTCTGGGTGTTTCATCTCTCCTCCTTCAGGAGCTTCTGAACCCCTTCCCCCTGGGCTGACCCAGGCCCAGCCCCAGGAGTCCTCTCTCCCATCTCTAGTGCTGGGGCCTCCTCCGGGGAGCAGGTCCACCCAGCCAGGGTCCTTGTCTGCAATTACTCTGCCACCTGGTGGCTAAATTGAGTATTGCTCATCTCAACTCCCCATGGCCTGCAAACCCGTGCATGCCCCTTCTGAACGGGCCTCAGAAGTCTGCCAAGTCCTGATGCCTGGCTGTTACAGGTGGTGATGCTTACACCTGAGGAGGGTGGCATTGGCCAGCCAAGGGATCGACCCAGGAACGCTCTCTGTAGCCTCAGTCCTGGGATCCCCATGGTGGAAGAGACCACCAAAGTGCAGGAATGTGGGGCTCCAGGTGAGCTGGAAGGAAGAAAGAAGCTGGCTCCCAGCCATAGATGAAGACGCTAGGGAAGGGACAGACAACTCACATGAGTGAACTTCTACCGGTTCCAACACCGCGAACTCACTGCTAACACTGACCACTAACTACCCTCCAACACTAACCCCTGACTGACTGCTAACATGACTGCTAACACCAGCGGAACTCTGAGCGACCCACTCTAACAAGCTGAAAAAGATATTATTGATAATAATGATGCAGAGAAACCAGCGCACTTACATGGCTGGTACTCTTGGAATTCGCCAACAGGAGTTAAAAGACTTAACACAGGCATGCCATTGGCTCAGAATATCTAGGCTAAGAGTTTATTCTGAAGTTTTTATCTTTTGGAAACATACATGAAGACTTGTATGCCAGAAAGTGTATCACAACTATTTATTTAAAAATTGGGAGCAACCTCCACCAATATGTTTCTTGAATAATTATTGGCTAAATAAAGAATATTACATAGGCTCCACAGATTAGTAGGTAGCAGAACAGAAAAGGTTTGCAAGTGCTCTGCAGCCACCAGTTGTGTACTCTTTTTAACAATAATTTTATTGAAATATAATTAATATCACAAATTGCGCCCATAAAAAGGGGGTGATCCGGTTGCTTTTAGTACATTCACAGAGTGTGCAACCATTGCCACTCTTAAACTTTAGAACATTCATCACCTGTAAAAGAAACCCCATACCCATCAGCAATCAGTCCCCATTTTCCTCCCTCCCAGCCCCTGGAAACTTCTATCTACTGACTAACTCTATGGATTCGCCTATTCCAAACATTTCACAGAAAAGGAACCATACAGCATGTGGCCTTTGTGACTAACTTCTCTCATTTAGCATAATGTTTTCAGGGTTCATCCATAGCATATCATGTATCAGTATTTCATTCTTTCTTATTATAAAATAATATTCTATTGTATGGCTATATCTCATTTTGTTTATCCATTCACCAAACGATGGACATTGGCAATTATGAGTAATGCTGCTATGAATATTCATATACAAGTCTTTGCATATGCATATTTTCCAATTCCCTTGCCTGTATACCTAGGAGTGGATTTGCTGGGTCATAGGGTAACTCAGTATTAGATTTCTTGAGGAACTGCCAGACTTTTTGCCAAAGCAACTACACCATTTGAAATTCCCACCAGCAATGTATGAAAGTTCCAGTTTCTTTACATCTTCATCAACACTTGTTTGTGTCTATTTTTTTCTTTCATTTTAGCCACCCTAGCAGGTGTGAAATAGTATCTCATTATGGTTTTGACTTGCATTTTCCCAATGACTATAAATATTAAGCACCTTTTCATGGGCTCATTGGCCATTTTTATACGGTATATGTTCATTTTAAGCATAAGAAACAAGATACAAATTTATACATATAAGACAATCTCAAGATATTTCCAAAATGTATAGAAAAAAATTTTCAGAAAACATAGAAAAATACCAACAGTGATTGTCTTTGGGGAGTAAGGTTATGGCTGACTTTTCTTTTCTCTTTGAATCCCTTCTCTGTGTCCCAAATGCCCCGCAAGGAGTATGAATTACTTTCATGATGTGACTAAAGGAAGGAATGCATGACAGGGTTTTTAGACAGGGTTGGCGTCTGGGCATTCGTGTGACCAGGAAGGTGCTGGGCAGTTGGTCAGCACAGCCAACGAGGTGACTCTGGGTTTCATGCGACCGCCAGGGGGAGGGTGCGTCCTTTGGAGGAGGGGAGGCAGGCAGGGAAGTCCTCCTGGAGGCCAGCAGAGGGGGCTGAGTCGCAGGGCAGGCCCACTTTGGGTGGACCAAGAAAGGGAGAGATTTCGCTCTGACCCACGGTGTCCTTTTCTGCTTGTTCTCTGTCCTAAAACCTCCCTCCACCCCCATTGGTCAACAAACGCATCCCCAAGGACAGTGCCCAGTCTCAATGTCCTCCCCCTGCCAAGCAACAGGGGAGGGGAGGGGTTGACCTTGACGATGTGTGACATCAGGGGTCCCCTGAGGCCTGGGAACAAGAAGGTACACAATGGAGAGGACACAAGAGAAAGACCTAGGGCTGAGGAAGCCCCGCCCTAGAGAAGAATATGCAACGAGACCCACGCCATTCCCAGAAGAGCAAACCCAAAGGGCTAACAGGCACAAGGAGAGATGCTCACTCTCTCATCATCATCGGAAAAATGCAAATTAAAACAACTGAGATGTCACTTTACACCCGTTTGACTTGCAAACATTAAAAAGCTGGGGAAAGCCAAGTGTTGGCGGAGTTGCTGGTGGGAGTGTAGATTTGCAGCCATTCTGCAGTGCAATCTGTCACTACTGTCACGCTAAGAAAGCCATAGCTGATGACCCGGCGCTCCTACTCACAGGTCCATCAGGGGACCAGCACGTAAGTGTTCACTTAGAGGGAGGGGGAGACAGGGCAGGTCCCACGGGTGGTGACACCATGTGGCACTATACAGCTGTCAAAACAAGGGACCAGATGAGCACACGGCACCCGGGGATCTCTTAAAACCTAGTGCGGAGGGGAGAGGCCGTTAGCAGCAAGATGTCAGGCACACAACTGACAGCATGTGCACAGGCTGAAAGGACAGACACACAAAACACTCCATATTTCGCATGAACACACAAGAACACAAATATTCACATTGGAATGTTGGCCTGCAGGAGGAGGAGACTGGAAGCGGACATGGAAACAAAAGAGAATAGGTTTTAAAAGTAAATTAAACGGGGGGACCCCAGCGCAGACACACGCTGATGACGTCTCTTGAACTGAGGAGTGACACGCGCCCTGTGCACTGAGGTCCAGCCGCAGGCTGTGGGGCCCCCCAAGGAAGGCACGTGCACTCACTCACACCGTATCGGTCCATCCACAAGTTTATTGGCTCCTCCAGGGCACGTGAGAAGAACAGAGACAGAGGGACCAGGGAAACAGAATTAGACACACAGGGGCCTCGGGGAAAAGAGGCGGGTACAGGACAGGAAGAAAGGTTGCCCTGCCCAGGCCGGGGCAGCGGCTCGGGCGGGGGTGTGGGCTGAGGGCTCCCAGGGGGTGCCGGTCCCCTCCTCCAGATCAGGGGGTGTCGGTCCCCTCCTCCAGATCGGGGTGGGCCCGCTGTAGCTGCCCAAGGGCAAGGGTGGACTCCAGGCGCATGGCGTGGCTGCCTAGCACACAGACGTCAGCACCTTCGTCCCCGAGCGGAAAGGCAGCGTCCACCGGGCAGGGGTCCTCCGGGCTGGCAGGAGCTCAGGGTTGTGGCCATGCCATCTCCGTGAGATCTCCGTCCTCACCTTTAGGGACGAGGGGAGGACATGAGACCAGCCCTGCTGCCTCTTCTAGACTCAACCCCGGGGGACCATGAGTGACGGGAGAGGCCACGTGGGAGAAACGGAGGCAGGGGAAGCCATGGTCGGCCACAGCCACTGCTAAGCACGGCCCCTGAACGATGCTACTTCCTCCTCCCCGTGCTGATTTCTGGCTGCACCCTTGAGCTCCTTTCTCTCTCCTTGAGCGGTGCCTCTGCCGGGGCCCAGATAAAGGCATTTACAGGGGCTTTCTTGAAGTTCTGGCCAGATAACGGCCCTGCCCTCCCTGAATGGCTTAGGCCACCCCTGCTCTGGGGTTCAGCCTGGCCGCTGCCCACTGAGCTGAAGTGTAGCCACTGGGGAGCCCGCCCAGAGGACAGGGCCTAACGGGAGACAGGACTTCATGCTCTGTCTGAGGACCTGCGGTTGAGGAGATGGAGAGTGACTGAAAGAAAAGGAGCCTGAGAGGTTCAGGGGAAATGTCTGTCTTCATCTCTCCAAGGGGCTGGGGGGGCAGAGGTGGGGTGAGAGGCTGCAACCCGCCTGATGGCTGAACATAGACTGCAGTGAAAGACAAAAAGGGGACAGATTTCTATTCAACGTCAAGGTGAGCTGTCTGACAACAGAAAGAGACAGTCACAGGTAGTGAGCTCCCCGTCACCAGAAGTATGTAACAACTATCTCGTCCCTCACACTGCTTCCTGATACGGCGTCCTTTACAACTCTGATGAATCCCCTTTCCCAGGCCCCAGCTGCCTCAGCTGGAGCTGTCCCCTGCCTCCCCTGCACCCCCAGGGCCCAGCAGCCACTGCACTCAGATACTACAGTCCGGAGGCTGGGGTGGGACGAAGGGAGTCAGAGGAGAGGGAGCCAGTCAGACCCAGAGGCAGCAGGTGAGGGAGAGCAGCACCCTGCAGCTGAGGGACAGGCGCGTGCACCCGGGTCTCCAGCAGAACACGTGGCCCACAGCTAACCCGTGGCCACTAGAGGGAGCCCATGGCTCTGTGTGTGCCCACAGTGCAGGCCCCGGCTGTCTGGGGATTAGTTCAATTCCCCAACTCTCCCTGCAAAGCAAGCCTGTCCCAAGGAGAAAATGCAAGGTGTCTTCGGGTCGGGATGCTTGAATGGGCCCCTCTCTGCGGGCCATCTCTCCATGTCTGTCTGTCTGTCTGTCTCTCTCTCTCCCCACCCCGTTGGCTTATTCCCTCCCCCACTCTCCCTTTTGTTCAATTGTAGGAACACAGAGCCCACCCCTGGATCCTGCCTCTTATCCAGAAAGGCCTCCTCCACCCCCTTGCTGAGTGGAGCCCAGCCCAGAGGAAGGATGGGTAAAAGAAGTTTACAGAAAGCCCTCAGGTCCAGCTTGATCCAGAAGCTCAGGACAGACTCCTACGAAGGATCGCAGCAGTCAAGGCTTGGCCTGAGCTGGGGTTTACAGGGTCTAAGCAGGAGGCAGGGGGCCCCAGGACCAGGGGGAAGGGGAAGCTAGAGGAGCAAGGATGGCCTGGAGAGTCACGTACCTCTTGGTTGAGGAAGCAATACAGGATGGCAACAATGAAGCCCTGGGGGGGGGGCAAAGAGAAAGGGCCCCATCAGGACACCTTGGCCTGGCCCCAAGGTGTTTGTGGTGTTTCTACTACCTTTCCCCCCACCCACCCTCCAGGCTGTGGTTTGAGCCAGGTCTTTGTGCAAAAGGGAAGGTAAGTGCATCACTTGCTATGTGCCAGGCCATTGCCTCATGCAGTCGTCATAGCAAACCTACCAAGTCTATACTGCTGGCCCCATTTCTCCAATTGTCTTTATCTGCGCATCTCTCAGTATTGAGCACAGAGCTTGGCATATGATAGGTGCTGAGTAAATGTTGAACAGATTGGACGGATGCATGGATGGTGGGTGGGTAGAAAGGTGCATGGAGAGATGGATGGATGGATGGATGGATGGATGGGTAGGTAGGTGGATGGGTGGATAAGTACAGGGGTAGCTGAATGAATAGGGAGATGGACAGATGGAAAGTGGACAAATAGTTGAATGAACAGATGAGTGGCTGAAAGAATAACCAGCCTCGCAGCCCTTGTCCTGACAGGAAGTCAGTCACGCCTGTGGGCAGGAGGGAGGTACTGCTGCCTCCCTCCTGCCCCGGCCTCAGCGGGTGGGCATGCCTGCGGGGGTCTCACCTGAAAGGAGCCCAGTCCCAGCTCCAGGGGCAGGCGGATGCCCAGGCCAGCACTGTCAGGCAGGAAGTTGAAGATGATGTAGTGAATTCCGAACAGCGGGATGAGGAGAAGCGTTGACTTGGAGAGACGCCTGCAGGAGAGAACCTTCAGACTCCTGAGCCTAGACTTTCAAACCCCCTCCTGCTGCCTGCCCACCCTCGCTTCCCACCAGCTCCGCATATCATCTCTTCACCCTGGGGACCTCCATCCTCCCCTCGTGCACCCCGGCCTTCCCTCCTTTGGGCCCCTGGGTCCTGCTGTTCTCTATGCCAAATACTCCGGTCTCCATTTATTCCAGTCTATGAATCTTTCAACATCTACTTCAAAGACCACTTCCTCCAGGAAGTCTTCCCTGACCACACCCCATCTCCACTCCCCATCCAGAAAGGACCTCCTTCTGCAGGCTCTTAGAGAAATTCACCCCAGCACAAGTCAGCCTATTTGGCCTGGTAACTGGGTGTTTGGAGCCTCCATCCTTCCCACCCTATGACCTTCCAGAAGGCAGGGACCAGGTCTATTCTGTCTCTGGGAGCATGGGGAGGAGCGTGGGCCAGGACCAGGAAGGCCCGAAGGCGAATGAAACAGAACCACACTGACCCCTCTGCAGTCATGTCCCAGAGTCCCCCAATGCGTGCGTGCACCTTACCAGTACTGAGACTGGGCGTGGAGGCTGCCCTGAGCTGGCTCCAGCTTCCTCAGCAGGATGCGAATAATATTGAGAAAAAGCACAAAGTTCACCTGGAAATAGAGGTGCAGGAAGGTGGAAGGCAAGATGTCAGGGGGAGGCCCTGGTGGCCTGGGGTGGGGCCTCTTTTGGAACTAGAAACCCCAACTCCTTGGGACAGAGGGCTGTGCAGTGGAAGGATTTACAGGTCATTGCTCTGGAACTCGTAGCCTGGAGCCCGGGAGGTCCCACGTGCCAACTTTAGAGGGCAGGGCCCAGGGCTCCCCTCCGCCTTCTGTCCTGAGATGGAGGGCAGGAAGCCAGGCCTTGCCTGCATCCAGCGCCTCCGAGAGGCTTCTTTGGCACAATTGCTAAACTGGGGAAATGGGCACATTCACCAAGGCCAAGCAAACCAGTCCTGACCGCCCTGCTTCCTCGTGGGAGCAGGCGACGGGTTTCTGCTGCACCGGTACCACCCCACCCGCTCCCTTGCCTGCCCAGCCTCTCACTGCAGTAGTCAACGAGCTGCAGCCAGATTGATCTCTGAGCTAGAAGGGGCCTGAGCACCAACAGAGACTGCCCCGCCCCCCGAGGTTTTACCAATGGATTGAGGTCCAGAGAGGGCCTCACAGCTTGGGGTCATGTTTCCTACTATGCACAGCCCCTGGGTGGACCCAGGGAGGTTGGCTGAATAAAGCAGAGGACACTGGCCCCACGGGCTGACCCCAACGGAGAGGACGATGGGCCCTTTGATGATCCACCAGTAGGGGGAGTTGTTGTCCAGGTCCCAGCACCTGGGGAGAGGACAGGTCAGGGCTGAGGCTGGGGCCTCTTTCCCGGTCACCCCTTGCGCCTGCCTCCTCCCCGCTCTCTGCCCACCCATGTCCTGGCCCTGGTCTCCGGCACTGGAGCCTCCAGCCGCCCCCACCTCCCGGGCAGCCCATCTTGTCTCCCAGAGAACTGGGTCCCTGTTGGAGGGGCGCCCAGTCCATGCTGGGCTCACCCGTTCTCTCCACCGAGATGGATAAACTTCTGGAAAATCCGTCTATTTGCCGCCTTCTTGCTGGTCCCAACCCCTCCCCTGTTCCAGGAGGCCCCCACTTACACCTGTCCCTCTGCCCCCCACCCCCACCTCTCCCTGAGCCCCGGAGTCCCAAGAACCCAAGGCGCCTTCCCACCCAGGCTCTGCTGTGTGCTTTCCATGGACGGCCACCCCATCGGCCACACGCCCCCCCCCAAGCCTGGGAGCTCCCGAGGGCAGGAGCAGGGCTCCTCTCCCCTCCCCAGCTGGGAGAACATCCATGCTGCCTGCCTGTCAGTCCACGCCCCACCCGGGGACTCGGGACAGGTGTGACGAGGCGGTCACCCCGACTCACGCAACATCCTCGAAGGCCAGCTTGCAACCCACCCACGTGGCAGTGAAGAGCAGGGGAAGCCCTGTGGGGCACAGAGGGGACACGAGGGAGGGGTCTACATCCTTGGCCTGGAGTCCTGCCCCATCTCCCATCACCGCTGCCCACCACGCAGGGCACAGGGAAGACGGGACCAGGTGAGAGCCCGCAGACCCCTTCTCCCACGCGTGCTGCGGGGCTGCCAACGTCCCTTCCCTTCACTGAGCCCAGGGGACCTTTGTGTGGGTCCCAGCACATTCCCAGAGCTCCCGCTCCCCCCGCGGTGCCCAGTCCTGCCCTCGTGACTCACCCCAGCCAGCAAGAACCAGCCACCAGAAGGCTGTCCTGGGGCCGGGCGACGTGGAGGCCAAGAGGCAGGTCAGGTAGACGGCTTCTGCCAACAGCCAGCTGAAGTTGGTCATGGTGGCAAAATGGGAGGTGGCCACAGAGACCTTGCACAGGACCTGCAGGCCGGGGATGGGGTGCTTCAGAGCTGGGACACCCCTTGGAGGCCACCCACGTCTCCCTAGGCCACCAGGGCCGCCCCACCTTGGCTGCCCCAGAGGGGATGCAGTAATGTAACGTGGTGGTCAAGAGACCAGATGCGAGATCCGAAGGCCTGGGTTCAACCTGACTGTCTATTAGCTGGGCCACCGCCCCCCACCCCCACGCCTGAGCTTTCCACCTGTAGGAGGAAGACTTCCAGCACCCAGCCCATGCCCTCACCATGAGGACCAAGTGGAAACCCTGTGTGATTGCTGCTCTTTGCACTCTCACGCCATCCTGCCTGAGCTCAAGCCAGTCCCTCGCACTGGGGAGAGGGGACACCGTTTATTCACGCTCGGCTCCGTCCCGCAAACATCCACACAGGCATCCCTGCCTTCATTCCTTCCTGCGTGACTCACTCATCTGTCAGGGGTGAGGAGCCTCCCCTCCGAGCCCAGGCGGCCCAGGCTGGGTCCCGGCCCCACCACTAAGCAGCTGTGTGACATTGCCCACTGTCCCTCGTCTACCAGTGGGACTAAGATGGAGACATGTGTAGGAAAGAAAACATGATGATATTATATATGCAAAGCAGCTAGTGTGCCTGGCAGCTAAGTGCTCAATAGACCTTCTTATTCTTATTCCTTTCATTAATGAACTAGTTCAGGTCATTGGCTGGTTTGCTCATTTACTTATCTCCTCATCTCCAGCACCGTTTTAGGGCACCTTCTAAGGCTGGGCCTCCACGCTCTACCCAGCTCCCTTTTTCTTTTTTTAAAGATTTTATTTATTTATTTTTAGAGAGAGGGGAAGGGAGGGAAAAAGAGAGGGAAACATCAATGTGGGTTGTGTCTCGCATGCTCCCAATGGGGGACCCAGCCTGCAACCCAGGCCTGTGCCCTGACTGGGAATCGAACCAGTGACCCCCCAGTTCTCAGGCTGGTGCTCAGTCCACGGAGCCACACCAGCCACGGCTGCCCAGCTTCCTTTTGCTTTCTGTCTCCTCACCTTCTCCCCTCTCCCCCCCCCCTGCAATGACTTGCCCCTCCCTTGGACACGCCCCAGGTTCCCCTGTTGGTGAGTTCATTCACCCTGGTCCTTCCATTTCACTGTCCTCACTCCCCTTCCCCATCACTGACTGCTGCTCACCCAGCTCCCAAGCCGTCCCCTCCCTGAAGCCTCTCTTGCTCCCTCCCAGCTCTCAGCTCCCTTTACCTGGTGCTCCCTTAACCTTACAGGATGCATTTTTTCCCCTAGACTATGGTCCAGGATGGAACGAGGAAGGGGGGAGGGTGCCGATAAAGAGTGGAGAGTAGAATGCAGGAAACGGCATGCATCGGCACCAGGGCCCTGCTTGAGGCTTCAGGACCTGACCCGGAGAGGGGTGGGAAGGCAGGGGGCGATTGTCCCCGTAACTGGCAATGCCGGAGCCCAGGCTAGCTAACAGGGATGGGCAGGCTCAGGCAGGCGCGCCTAGGTCCCCAATCCAGCCTCCCGCCCCTCCACCTGCCCCGGCACCCCCCAACCACGGTTGTTACAGTGGAGTAGCTGCAGTGGTCCACGCTCTCGCTGTGGAAGAGGGAGGCGTCCTTCAGGAACACGGCTCCCGCCTTGAGGATAAAGGTGGTGAACAGCTGGGTGTGGATGTAGTTCCGGGGGCAGTGGAGCCTCCTGCAGGGGGCGGGGAGGGATGAGGCAGGGGCAGGGGGCTGGCACAGTGGGAGGAGGTAAGCAGGGTTCTTAGAAGAGAGTGGGGGCTGGGCTTTGAATTAGGACAGCTGTGCATCCACTGAGAAGGAAGGAGGCAGGTATTCCAAGCTCCCCAAGAGCAGAGGCGTAGCAGTGGGAGTGAGTCCCAGGAGGGGTCTGCCCGTGGGGAAAAGCAAGGGCAAGCTCAGAACCGGCCGTGGCGCCTGGCCCGGGGGACTCAGGAATCGCTGCCATGCATAGCAGGGAGGCAGCAAAGGCGCCTGAGCAGGCGATGCGGATGGCGAACCTGAGAGTGACCAGGATGGCGATGGCCACCAAGAGAGCCACGCTAGAGACGCTGTGTCCCAGGGTGTAGATGACCTTCACCGTGGAGAAGTAAGATCTCTGGGGAGGATGAAGAGGGGGAATGTCTCAGAAACTGTGCCTCTGGGGAATAGGGTGGTTGGCCATCTAACCGGTGAAGCTCTCGGTGCTACCCCGAACCTCTCCGTCCGGGGGCAGGGGCGCCCGTGGGGACCACGGCAAGCTCCCTCCGTGAACTGAAGTGTTTGTGTTTAGCCTGCCCTCTGCTTGACCCTCTGCTGGTGACAGAGGGGGTGGCGGCAGGGATGCCTCGCTCCCTGTGCTGCTCTGCGGCCTGGAGAGGCGGCGGCAGAAACTCCACATCTCTCAGGGGAGAGACAGGAGCCCAGGAGGAAATCGGGATTGTTTATTGACATCCACCTTGCTCGCCAGCTTGGGAACACGATGTCCCAAAGAAAGGGGACAGCCCAAGACAACCACAGGGAAAAGCTCATTCTCTGACCAAGTGTGGGGATCTGTCAAGGCCCAGCCTGGACCCCGAGACAGAGACGGGGTGCAGGCCGAGGATGGGAGCAAGGCCCAGCTCCCCTGAGGGAGGTCACAATCACTGCCCGGCTCTGACTCTGTCTTTTCACCTAAAAAATAGCCAGACTCAGGCTTCATCTTGCAGGGCTGAGAGCGAAGAGATGTGGGATTATGGGCGTGGAAGCCCTCGAAGAGCCCTGCACGATTTGGAGGTGGGGTGTGCCGGCTCTGGGAAGGGTCACTGGGGCCACCTGCGGGCTGGAGTTTCCCTCGCTTGCCCACCCCTGCGCCCCACACTGCGCCTGCCCACACTGCGCGGCAGACTGAGGACTAGACGGGAAGGAGCCTGCCCCGGACCACGAGGAGCCTCTGTGTCCCTCGAACCACCCGAGACTTCCTGCCCTAAAGGCCTGGAAACAGAGAAGTTCACACCAAAGGGATAGTGGCCAGCACATCTCCCACCGTGCCCTCTGCGTCCGCCCTCTGAGCACGGTGGCTCCCTGCCACCCTGGAACAGATTAGCGGAAGAACCCCTCTTCCAGACACTGCCACCTTCTGGAGATCTGCTGTAATGGACACTCCAGCCTGCTGGCTGCCATGGAAATGGCGGCCCCTGCACCCGCGCAGACCAGCCTCTGCGCGAACATCCACGGCGAGCCTTCCTGCAAGACGCCTCGTACCTCCTCGGTCAGCAGCTCCAGGGGCACCGGGCAGGCCACGGGGTACGGAGGGAAGGGCTCGGACCAGCCCGTGGTGGTACAGTCCCTCTTCACTGCCCCTGGGAGGCCGGCAGAGGTGGGGAAGCGAGAAAGGGTCACTACGACGTCTCCCGGTCCCTGGGAGGGGCTGCGGAGCCACGGCCCTGCAGTGAGCCCGGTAGGCTGCACAGACAGCTCCTCTCGGTGGCAGAGGGAGAGGAACCTTCTTGCCAGGACTTTCTGGGGGCTTCCTCTTTGGCCTCAGGGTCCCGGCTGTTAAACTGAGAGGGTCATTCCCCTGAGAGGCAGAGTTGTGAATTGGGCCCCCAGCACTCTGGTGGCAGGGAGGAGAAAGGAGGCCGTCTGTGGTCCTGGAGGGACTGTCCACCCCTGACACCCAGGCCAGGGAGAGGAGGTAGAGCGGTGGAGGCCATCCCCCCCTCCCCCGACTACGCAGCAGGTGGCATCGTGGCAGTCAGATTGCACCCCAAAGCCAACTCTCCAGTGATATCCAAGGAAGACTAGTTCCATGCCCTGCTCACCCCCGTGAGGTCACAGGTCGGGCAACTGAGGGTCAGGGCGGTGAACTGACATGCCCAAGGTCACACAGAAAGAGAGGGAGCTGTTCAAATCCAGGTCTGCCTGCCCCTACACCAGGGATGTGTCTGCCATATTCCAGCACCACCAGGTAAAAACGCGTCCCCTCCCCGCCCTCCACCACACCCCCAGGACCCTCACCTGGCTCAGCACTGAAGTGAGAGAAGATATCTGGGCAGGGGAGAGTCACCCACTCGCCAGAGCCCGCCATGGGCCAGCACAGCAGCCCATCCCAGGTCGTAGGGCAGCCTAGACCGAGGGGCGGGAGCAGCGTGGCTTCAGCCGGGGGCACAGCCCTGTCCCATATCCTGAGAGGGGAGGTTGGAGGGGACAAAGGCATCTGAGACGCCATCTGCTGTCTCCTAAGCCCCATACCCAGGGTGGCGTTGCGCATCCCCTCCGCTGCCTGGAGACACGCACTCTCGTCCTCTCTCAGCCTGCCGATGAAGTCGCACTCTGGGTGCACGTGGTTTGATACCTGCAGGAAAGGGTTAACAGGACGGGCCAGGCCATTTGGGTGCTCCTTCTGGGAAGGGGAGGAGGGAAGGAACCACGGGTATCAGGAGTTCTCCAAGCCACGGTGGTGCCGCCTGCTCAGTGGGGAGAGGAAGGGCAGTGGGGACCCCCCTGGGCTCCGGCTGGATCCCGCTATGTCCCTGTGGCTCCCAGACTCGGAGCCCAGCTGCAGGCAGGAGGGTCTGAGATAACTACTCACGATTGGTAGCAAGCTCAGCAAGCAGAGCACGCAGGCGCCCCACGCCCTGCTGTCCATGGTGGGGGCTCAGCAGGGCTCCGCAGTCAGCTTAGCTGGGTCCTGGCCCTCTCCCCTCCCCTTCCCTCGTGGCTGATTGCATAGGCAGGGGCCAGCGGCAGCTGAATATTCACCAGGATGGCAGGACACCGTGCCCAGCTCTGCTCCAGTGTGGGACTCCACGTCCCCTCCCCCACCTTCCACCCTGTCTGTAAGCCAACTTGCGTGTCTGTCCTGATATCAAGGGCCCAGATTGGTGACAGCCACAGGACATTTCTGGCCCCAGTAGGTCAATATTCTTTACCACTCTGCTGGCCCATTCTGGAGAGAGCTGCCCCAACAACCCCCACCGCCCCCCTGCCAATGAAGGAGGCTCAGAGAAGAAGCCAGAGACACGGGCCCCCCTCAGAGAGCTCCCAGCTTGGTTGGCGATCCCAGCATAGTCCCAGGGCTGGAGGGTGGGCTCAGGGCTGTGGGGACCCAGTGGAGGTGGAGGTGGAGGTCTAGCCCCCAGTGGGGGCCAGAGAGTGAGTTTAGGAAAAGAAAGGTGATCACAAAGCACCTGCATGGGCAGGCCAAGAAGGTGGCAGGTTGTCAGGACCGTGTTTCTTTCCTGGTGAGGACGCAGCCTGGATATCAAGACTCTGGACTTCACAGAGGACGGAGGGGTGGCGGCGGGGGGTGGGGTGGGAGCTGGCCAAAGTCCCTCCAGAAGTCGTCATGGCAACAAGGAAATGAGGCTGAATGGGGGGCTTGCAAGGCCGTTCACGGAGCTGGCCGTGCTGAATGGGGCAGGACTACTGTTCTAGGCAGCAGAAACAAGAGAACTTACACAGCCTCTTAAATTATTTTTAACCTTTGTTATCTGATCATTTTTAATTATACTTTTAGACTTTAAAACGTGGAAGCCCCACTGGCCAAGCTGAAGACAGTGTTCTAAAGGACTCTGGATCTGACACAGCGTTTGGGCTTTGAAAGCACATGTTAATGGTCCCCTGCTGGGCGTCCGCGACATTTGCATCCCCAGAGCTCCCTGGCCGGGGCGCCGGGGCCACCACACATGTTTACAGCCGACAGGAATCATGAATGATGAAGGCCCCTCGCCCCCGCCACATCTGGACTACGGAATCATTTTACATCAGCAAGGTTTTATTTTTCCATCTGTCTTCATCAGCAACAGGTGTTGAAGAAAAATATATTGGAAAGAAAACATGACCCCCCCGCCCCAGACCCCCCGCCCTTGCACAGGCATCCACATGTGCTTCCCGTGAACCAGATGCCCGCGGCGGCACCACACGGAGCTCAGCAGGCGTTTGGAGCCCCCGCAGCGGGCTCCTCTGCCGCAGTCCCCGGAGGACTCGCAGGCTGGGAGAGTGGAGCCTTGGGAAGGTGTGACTTAGAGTGAAAGCTTCTGTCCTTCAGCTACAAAGAGGCAGGAGCCCAAGGACAAATATCACCACTAATCACTATTGATAATTAGTGTCAGTGTCATTAGCATTAACGATGGTTTATCATTGATATTGATATTTAATAATAATTAATATGATCTGAATTAGTGGTTCTTAACAGGGAAACGGTTATGCCCCAGGGAACATGTGGCAATGCCTAGAGACAGTTTTTATTAGCATAACCAGAGGTCAAGGTCAAGGGTAAGAAGGAGGGAAGGTTGGGGAAGTGCTACTGATGGGAAATGGATAGGAACCAGGGGTGCTGTTAAACATCCTACAATGCGCAGGACGGTCCCCAGCACCGTAAGACGAAAGAGCCAGTTCACAGGATCAACAGGACTAAGGTTAAGAAACCCTGATCTAATCACTCATGTTCCCCCCAGGCAACCCGCTGTCCCTTCTGAACAGGCCAGGGTCAGCAAATTCCCATCTGTAACTAACTCTGTGTCTACATAGCATTCAAATTCTGCCTCTGCCACCTGCTAAGTATGTGACCTTGTGCAAGTTATTTAACCTTTCTGAGACTCAGTTTCCCCACCTGAAAAATGGCGATGGTACCTTGCTTGTAGAGTTGACGGGATAAGACGTCAGAGAAAGGCATACATAGCAAAGTGCCTCATACAGCGCCGAGCCCACGGTGGACACTCATGGATGCGAGCACCTAACAAGGATCAACTATCAGCAAATGCGGTGAGAGCGACTGGGTCTTTGTATGGAAAAAATAAGATCAGACTTCTTGCTCACCTTTACCAAACATATATTCAAAAGCTTCAAAGCCTTACATATAAAACAACAAAATCAGATTTTTTCCAATGACAGAAATTTGTTTTTATGACCTTATAAGAGAGGCAACTTTCTAAATAAAAAACAAAAACTATAAATAAAAGATTAATAAGTGTAAGCACATCAACTTTTTTTTTAAATGTATGTTCAAGAAAAGACAAATAGGTACAATGACAAGCAAGCTACAGACCAAAAGGATATTTGTGACCACTAATGACAAATAAAGAGATAATATAAAACAATATTTTAAAATACCTACAAATCAATAATAAAGAGAAAAATAACTCAACAGAAAAGTGAGCAAAGGATATGAACAGGCAACTCAAAAATAAGTAAAATACAGGACAAATAAACAGAAAACGATATTCCACATGACTAATGCTCAACAAAATAGAGAATTAAAATAATAGTGACTACCCTTTTTCACCTATCACATTGTCTAAGATTTTAATGTCTAATAAAATGATGTGGGGAAATGGTACTTTTATACCACCCAGATGGGAGTGAACATTATACACACACTTTGAAAAGCAATTTGATATGATCAATTGGATCTATAAATGAACATACCCCACAAACCAGAAGTTCCTTTTCTGCACATTTGCCCCCGAGGGTGGTACGGTTTATAGTATGTAGTAAAATCCAGAAAACAACACATATGTCCAACAACAATGGAATAGTTAAATCAAATACAATATAGTCATACACCAAAATACTATAGGGCATTAAAAAGATAAATTAAATCTATTATATCAACATGGAAAAAGTTCAAAATAATATATTTGAGAAACTTCTGCTTCCAGCCAAGACAGAATAACAGGGACAAATTTGCCCTCCTCCTGCATTTACAACAAGAAATCCAAACAAAATATACAAAGCATTGGGTTTTAATAGGTGAGGAAAAAGAGCACCATGATCATCTCAGCTGATGAAAAAAAGCATTTGGCGACATCGAACGCCCTTGCAAGATAAAAACACTCGGTGTACTAAGGACAGAGTGAGCTCTCCTAACATGATAGAGGCCATGCATGAAAGCCCACCATGAACAGCACACTCAGTGATGGAGAACCAAAAGCTTCTTCCCCAAGTTATGAGGAACAAGGAGGATGTCTGGTTCCTCCACTTCTACTGAAGACAGCACTGGAAGTTCTAGCCAGAACAACTGGGCAAGAAAGAGAAATAAAAGGTACCCAGACTGAGGGGGGGAAAAGTATCTCTGTTGGCAGATAACATGATCTTACATGTAAAAAATTCTAAAACACACACACACACAGCTATTAGGGTTCATAAACAAATTCAACACAGCTGTAGGATACAAACTCAACAACCAAAAAAAAAAAAATCAGTTGTTTTTCTATACACTGGCAACAATCTGAAAAGGAAATTAAGAAAACCAATCCATTTACAAGAGCATCAAAAAGAGTAGAATACTTTGGAGTAAATTTAACCAAGGAGGTGAAAGTCTTTCACATAATAAACTATAAAACATTGCTGAAATAAAGCAAAGATCTAAAGAAAAAAAAAGATCTGAAGAAAGAGAAAGATATGTATTCGGGAATTAGACGACAATATTGCTAAGATGACAAAACTTCCCAAAATGATATACAGATTCAAAGCAATCCTTATAAAAATCTGAATAACCTTTTTTTTTCAGAATTAGAAAAACCCATGCTAAAATTCATGTGGAATATCAAGGGACCCCAAAAAGTCAAAACAATCTTGGAAAAAACAACAACACCCAAGTTAGAAGCCTCACACTTCCTGATTCTAAAACTTACTTCAAAGATACTGTCATCAAAGCAGTGTGGTCCTGGCAGAAAGATAATAAACCAGTGGAACAGAATAGAATAGAGAACCTAAAAATAAACCCTCGCATATGTGCTCAGTTGACTCTTTGACGAGGTTGCCAGGACCATTGAGTGGGGGAAGGACAGACTTTTCAACAAATGGTGATGGAAAAACTGGATCTCCACATGCAAAAATGAAGTTAGATCCTTCCTTACCTTACACTATGTACAAAAATTAACTCAAAATGAATAAAGACTTAAACTCATGAGCTACACCTAAAATTCTTAGTGGAAAACACAAGAGATAATCCTCGTTCCTTTGCATTTCACAGTGGTTTCCTAACACAGGAAACAAAGAAAAGGAGATAAATTGGACACCATTAAAATTAAAAACTGGAATGAAGCACAGGACATTATCAAGAGAATGAAAAGACAACCCATAGAATAAGAAAAATATTTGCAAGTCATATATCTGATAAAGAATTAATATTCAGAATATATAAAGAACACTTACAACTCAACAACAAAAACATAAACAACCCAAATCAAAAATGAGCCAAGGACTTGAACAGACATACTCCCAGGATGATGTACACACAAGAAAAGCTCAGCATTGTTAGTCACTTGGGAAATACAAATGGAAACCTCTATGAGATATAACTTCACACCCACCAGGATGCCCGTTTTGTTTCTTTTTTAATGGAAAACAAGAGTGTGGATGAGGATGTAGAGAAATTAGAATTGTCCTGCAAGCTTGTAGGAATGTAAAATGGTGCAGTTGCTTTGGAAGACAGTTTGGCCGTTTATCAAAAGGTTAAACATAGAATTACCATATGACTCCACAATTTTTACCCCTAGGTATGCATACAAAAAAACCGAAAGCAGGAACTCTAACAATACTTGTCCCATAGCGATATTTATGGCATTATTCACAATAGCCAAAAGCTGGAAACCATCCAAGTGTCCATCAACAGAGGAATGGATAAACAATAATATGATCTCT